AGAGTAGAGTACCAATAAGCAAGTTACCCATAAAAATAAGAACTCGAAATAAACAGAAACACCTTGGCAAAATGCGAACGCATAACGAATCACATGCAAGTTTATTGGCACCGGAATCGGATCGAAACCAATCTATGATAATATATTATTATCAAAATTGTAATTTGTTTATAGAAAAGACAATAAATAAGAATAGAGCTAAGAACGAAGTACAAATACATATTTAGAACCGTGACGTCGTTTTGTTGTAGATGCGACCCAAATGGTTGTCCTATATCTATATGACGAATTTATTACTGCAGTTTCTGTAATATTGTGTTTTTAATAATGCAGCAATACCGGGTGAGAACTATTTTTATTTTGAACCATACTGCTATCAATATCTTCAAGTTAAAACCAATGTCACTTCTGCTTGACATCAGGCTGCTCGTAACGAGTATTTAACCTGGAAACCCCTAAGTAAATTTACTTTCTAACGTTTTAATGGTACATTTAATTATTGCATTCGCAAGAAATTTTAAAAGAATTATTAGAAGTAGAATTGAATTCAAAGAGGGATTTATGGGATTATTTTATACAGTTCATATTTAATTATCGTTAATAATTCATATTTAATAATATTATAATAATATTAAATTTATTAATACTTTATTATAGTTCATTAATAATTAACATTTTTTTAGTATTTAATATCGAAATTTATATTTGGCTAATTGCTTGTTTTCTCGACATTTCAAAAACGTTCTTTTCAAAACAAAGTTGAAAATTTTAACTAAATAGCTAAATCTCGATATTTATTATTAACTTCCCATAGGTTAGGTATAGTAATAGGCTGAAAATCAAAAATGAAAATTTTTGCATATCTTCACGTTTTGAAGGTTTCTGAACATTTTCCACATTTTTTCGTCCACGTTTTCTGGCGCACGGATCAACCGATTTGAATGGGTAAAAAAAAATTCGATTCCTGTTGATAGGAAGACGTGCTGATTAGTTTTTGGTGAAAGCAGGTCCAGCCGTTAAGGAGATACGGAGCAAAGAGTGCAAAAAATACAAATCGAGTTTTTGAGAAAGCGGAGTATTCGATTGGAATGATCTAAAAAACATTCAATTTGTAATGATTGGGAGAAGAAGTGATTAGTTTTTAGAAAGGGCAGGTCCAGCCATTTCAAAAATACAGAGCTAAATGTGTAAAAATTGGCAGGTTTTGAGAGAACTAAGCGTCAAATTTGAATTATTCTGCTTGTTTTAGCAAAACTGCTTTTGGAAAAAAATTTGTTTCATTTATTTTTCAAATATTTTCTTTCCAAAAAAAAATTTTTTGTTTTTCGAAAATAATTCAGATTTTAATTTTAATTCTGACTAAAGTTTAAACAAATAATTTGAACTTTGCAATTCATTTCATATAATTCTTATAAATATTAGACAATGTTACAATATTTATAACAATATTTGAACTGATTAAATTTTTGGAAAGGTAGGTCCAGCAATTGTAGAAATCCAATAAAAAATGTAAAAAAATTACATTGGTGGTAAAACATGATTATTAGACATATGCACATTAGATTATCAAATATTTTAATATTTTAATAAGTATGAATGCTGTTTACATTTCTATGTTTATCGGTTAGACTGCGACGAGGCGCTTACGCGCTTTCATATTCGTCTCTGAAACAGCTACGCAGCGCCATTGTTTTGCAAAAAAAAAATAATTTTGAAAATAAAAAATCTAATTTTTTAAAATCAATTCCGATCGAATTATAAGTCAAACGAAAATTCACTTTCGTTTTTTTGTTACTTCAATAACTTACTCCACTGATGAAAGACTTATTCCATATTTAGACCATTTTTAATGGACAAGAACTAAAATTTTTGGTATAAATATAAAAGCCTTAAAATACAAAATTAGCTGACCAGTGTTTGTGATTATACGACTATTCCCTACTAAGTTACTTATAATTTATAGTGTTAATTACAAAAGCGTTTGTACAATAACACTTTTTTGTAGAAAATCTGTTTTGTTTTGTTTACACGATATCGTACATATATATTCTAGATGACAATATTAGACATATTCGTATACGATGACATTTGCATTTAATAATACAATAATAATATGATTTCACTTTAATTAATGCAACAGCATGACTAAGCAAACCCGGTCGACTCGTGCTAACGCAATCGTTTTACCTTACCTTACCTTACACTTCAAGGTGGGTTAAGAACAACAGATTTCGAAAATATATAATTTATATATATATATATATATATATATATATATATATATATATATCTAATTTTATATTGTGTAAACTAGGAAGGATAGATTTATATTTTTTGCTTAAGACTATGCCCATATGTTAAACAATGGAGAACCAAAATGTACAAATACTGAGAAGACGATAAGGAAAGTTTGATATAAGACTGTAATTAATGATAAAGTACATTTTGAAAAAGAGTTAAAACATTTACGCAACGTTGTAATGAACCAAAATTTAAATTTCATATATTTAAACATGAAACAGATATCACTGGCTTCTCTGACAGAAATCAAAACTTATACGTAGCCCAATTGTATATTAGTGCAGTAAATGAAGACGAAAACTAGCTGTAAGTGGAATTCTGTCTTGCGGCAATTATGGCATCGTGCCTTAAGGCAAATTGCTGGAACTTCCCGTACCGTAACAAAATGTTCAAGGAATACTGAATGTTTTCAAATAGATTATTATAAATATTGTAACATTGTCTAATGTTTATAAGAATAATAAAAACTGAATTGCAAAGTTGAAATTATTTGTAAAGTATATTAGAACTATAGACAGAATTAGAGTCCAAAATCAATTATTTTGTTAAGGCAAGCAGAAAGTTCTTTGGATCATTTAAATCGGACGCTTAGTTCTCTCAAAAAACTGCCATTTTTTATATATTTAGCTCCGTATCTTCGAAATGGCTGGGCCTGCCTTTGCCAAAAGCTATTAAACACTTCTCCCATTACTAATTGAATGTTTTTTAGATCATTCAAATCAGATACTCCGTTCTCTCAAAAAGTCGATTTCTATCTTCTGCACTCTTTGCTCCTTATCTTCGAAACGGCTGTACCTGCCTTTGCCAAGAACTAATCAGCTCTTTTCCCTATTAATAGAAATCGAATGTTTTTTGAACCATTCAAATCGGTTGATCCGTGCGTGATCGTTCAAAACGAGAAATGTAAAAATTTTCAATTCCGATTTTCGGCCCATTACAATAACTTACCCTACGGAAAGTTAATAAAATTACACCATTGAGAAGGGGTGTCAGAGTCCAAATTGTTTTAACTTTTGAACTTGAAAGTGAACCTAATTTCAAAATTTCATGCAAATCGGAGCACAGTAAAAAAAATTCAGACCCAAAACGCTTCACTGACTGGATATAGTATATACGGTATACGGTATACATCTGGAGGAGTATATACGGTATACATCTATGGAAATCAATTCAAAGATACTAAAATAAATTACTACAAGAAATTTTGAATGCCTCAAAGTATGTACTAAATTGGTTAATACATAAAGACGCCGACATGAATACAATAAACGACGAAATACGAACAAATTAAAACAATTACAAAAGCTTCCTCGAGGATCATCAAGAACAATACCACAATACTACCAGGACAAGATCGAAAAAGAAATTCATGTTACTTTAAAATATGACAATTTTCAAAATATCTGACAATGGTCAGAAAATTTTGTATTTTCCATTTTTAGCTTATTGTCATTTTCAAGACAGGTGTAAAAATTACTATAAATTAAGAAAATCGAGGTATTATGTTAAATTTACTTTATGATTAATAGTCGCTCTATTTCTCTACATTTTAAAAACAATATCAAAGGCTTTAGCTAGTTGAAATATAAATGGATTTTAAACGTATTTTGAACTGTGAAAAAATTATATAGTATTGTAAAAAATTAAATAAATTTATATTTCAGAGCTGGTCGATTGTTCTAAACCAATTGTTATAATTTATCAGAAAAATCATGAAAAAAGAAAGATTTGTTTTATAAAGGATTTGCATTCGATTCTGAAGTCTTAAATTATCCTTTAAAAAAACAGAAGTATTACTGAGCGTTGTAAAATGTTATCACTGTATGTGTAAATTAAATATATATATATATATTTTATACCTACAGTATAAGATATATAAAACAAATTAACGCTACCTGTACGTTATTAGAATACGTCAATTTATACGATATTTTTTTATTATAAAACTGAATTATTTGAAAAAGAATTGCATTTTTAGCACTAAATTATTATGCTGTAATTGAAATATTTGAAAAGTTATATACATATATCGAAAATTTAAACTGGATTTGTATGCATCCCCTTTTGCTTTGAACCAGAAATTAAAATTTGAGACATTTAAATGAACTATTTTTTAAAATATAAAACATACTCAACATTTCAGAACCATTACATTGTTTCATTATTAGGGCATCTATCAATAATATAGATTTAGTCAGAAGATAAACAAAAAACATCAAATAAAATAAATAAATGGATCATACAAAGAAGTATATAATTAACAAAATATATAGTTGATAAAAATATGATATCCCATTTTTATCACTTCAATAATATATTCCATATCTATTATATGTATTCTATATATAATCCATTCATTTATATTTTGTGATATATTGGTTTTGTTTGTTTAATTTTTAATAAATATCATGTTCTTTCACAGACAGATTTCCTGAAGATGAAACGATAGTTCCAGAATGTCGACAATAAATAATAATTTAAAAAAAAATAATATATGTTCATATAGATCTTTCCCTATACATATATATATATATATATATATATATATATATATACAAGCCCATATACAAGATAAATATTATAGATTAGCAAAAGACAGATTAATAAAAGAGAATATAGAAAAAGCCAGTAAATTAAAAGAACAGAATTATAAATTCATATTTATCTTTTCATTTATATCGATAACAAAATAAGGGACTATACACAAGACAGAAAAAAATCAGAGATGATATCAAATTTGGCTCACGTATCAGTGACGCTTTTTGCCCTTTTTTCCTCCAAATTTCTTCCCACTGCCTTTGAAATTTTGCCTACGCTTCTCTTCCCATTTTAATTGTTTGTCTGATGATTTATCTTTATTCAAAACTGCAGATGATGTACCCAACTTTTGTTTGGATGCACCTGAAGAGAAAAATCAAGGTAAAAATAATCACAACATAATAGTCAAGTGATACTACATAACTGATAATACAGTAATAATGATGTAATTTAAATAATTCTTATATTTATCATCATTGATTATTGCATCTAATATAAAAATAAATCGAAAAAAAATAAAATCATTATTAGTATACTTAAAAATCCATATTTATTCTAAGAGTGATTTCATGTATTATATTTCTAAAAAACTTTAATCAATTCAATTTTAAAATATAAATAAGGCAAGATACCAAAGGCTTCGATTCGAATATTAAAATAAAATTTTGTATTTATCATAAAATCTTGAGACAAATTAATTTAGATTATTATGAATAAAATCTAAATTTAAAATAAAATGTACATACCAGCTTCATCAAGTAAATGGGCAAAGTCATCAGCATTCGCAAACAACGACGCAATATCTGTAAAAAAAATGATTTATGTTAGAATAATATATTTAAAACACGATAAAATTATCAATAAAAACATACTCAATATTGAAATATAAATAAACTATATCTTACCTTCTTTACCATTCTTTTTCTTGCCACCTTTTTTCTTCTTTGTTGGAGGTTCATCATCAGAGAATTCTAAATCGGACAAGTCGTCATCATCACCTAAATCGTTGAGCAAATCTGCAAGAATAGATATTAACATTAGAATTAAAAAATACATACCATCATATTATCTTAAATATATTATTATTAACTTCCCGAAGGAGAAGTTAATGTTTTCATCGAAAAATCCGATTCGCTAATTTTATGTTTTCTCGACGTTTCAAGCCATTCTGAATCGAATGAGACCAAATTTGGAAAAAGTATGTGTGTGTGTGAACAGATTCTTTGCCGTAAATCGACGTTTTCTCCAAAACGGATGGACCGATTTCAAAAATTTAAAAGCCATTCGATGTATCTCGATGAGGACTAGCGTTTATCAATTTTGCGCGACGATCAGCCAAGCCGTTTCTTTGTGAATAGCAGAAAAGTGAAAAAATTTTCGTCCACGTTTTAGCCCGCAGTTCTGAATCTAGCTTGAAAATTCAAAAACCGTTCAAAAGATATTGATTGGGAATCGTGCTGATTAGTTTTTGGTAGAGATCGGCCGGGTCGTTTTCTTGTAATAAAGTGTTAAAAAAATTTTTTTCGACGATTTTTATTAGTATTTTTTTGACGGTAGATACCATAGTCTTCTAGATCATACTAAAATATTACGGCCTTACGACAACTCGTTTAGCTTTAAAAATTCGTCAAAGTTTGCAAAAATTAGTATCGTTTTTTTGGCATTTGTCAAAATTAGACATTTCATCGACGATTGCTCAAAAACGCCTGAACCGATTTCAGAAATTTGAAAGCCATTTCGTGTACCTCGATGAGGATTATCGTTGGTCAGTTCTGTGCGACGATTGGCCGAACCGTTTCTTTGAAATTTGGAAAAAAGTGTTAAACTTTTTGTCCACATTTAAGCTCATTCTACCGAATCGATTTTAAAATATCAAAAACTGTTCGAAAGATATTAGTTGGGAATGATACTAATTTACTGATTAGTTTTAGGTGAAAATCTATCGAGCCGTTTTCTGGTAATTAACTGTTGAAAAAAAAATTCAGGCCGATTTTTATGGAACTTTTTTTGGCGATATATACCATGGCCTTATAGAACTTACTGAATTATTACGGCTTTACGACAAGTAGTTTAATTTTAAAAATGCATCAAAGTTTGAGAAAATGAGATAGTTTTTTTGACGTTTGTTAAAATTAAACTTAGTCGATTCACTTGGTATAACGGTAGAGTACTTGGTCTTAATAAACGTAATAAATCATTAAAGTCCTACGGAAACTGGTTCAATTAAAAAAATATTGATTTTTGAAAATTTGCTTTTAGAAAATACTCCGATTAACGTGTTCGTTCGTTTTCAATTATTTTTAATAAATCCACTCGGTATACTTTTAATCACTCATAAATTAATTTATTTTTTATTGATTAAGTCGATTATTTACATATATCGGGAAGTTCATGTAACTTGCCTCAAGGCTAAATACCAAACCAACTAGTTACTTATGATATTCCGAGAATAAAGTAGTTGGTATTGGTATTTTGCCTTGAGGCAAGTTACATGAACGTCCCGATATGTGTAAATAATCGACTTATACAATAAAAATAAATTAATTTATGAGTGATTAAAAGTATTCCAAGTGGATTTATTACACATAATTGAAAACGAACGAACACATTAACTCGGAGTATTTTCTAAAAGCAAATTTTTAAAAATCAGTAATTTTTATAGTTGAACCAGTTTGCATAGGATTTAATGTACCAAGTAAATCGTCTAATTTTAATTTTAACAAACGTCAAAAAAACTATTCATTTCCTTAAACTTTGATGCATTTTTAAAATTATAATACTTGTCGTAAGGACGTAAATATTTCAGTAAGTTCTATAAGACCATGATTTATATCGCCAAAAAAAAGTTCAATAAAAATCGACTACAATTTTTTTTCTACAGTTAATTACAAGAAAACGGCCCGGTAGATTTTTACCTAAAACTAATCAGTATCATCCCCAACCAATAACTTTCGAATAGTTTTTGATTTTTATAAATCGATTCGGTAGTATGAGCTTAAATGTGGACAAACAGTTTAACACTTTTTTCCAAATTACAAAGAAACGGCTCGGCCAATCGTCGCACAGAACTGACCAACGATAATCCTCATCGAGGTACATGAAATGGCTTTCAAATTTCTAAAATCGGTCCAACCGTTTCTGAGAAAATGTCGATTTACAGCAAAAAATATGTTCACACACACACACATACTCTTTCCAAATTTGGTCTCATTCAATTCAGAATGGCTTGAAACGTCGAGAAAACATAAAATTAGCGAATCGAATTTTTTTATGAAAACATAAACTTCTCCTTCAGGAAGTTAATAATTTATAAATATGGTTTTACCTTCGTCATCGCTGCCCAAGTCTGAGAAGTTATCATTTCCGCCAAGAGTTTCATCACCCGCACTTTGTTCCATATCTTCATCATCATCTTCATCAAATTCTTCAAGTTCGTCATCGTTATCATCGAAATCATCGTTATCTTCATTATCTTTTTCATCCTGATCTTCAGTCAGGTCATCATCACCATCATCGGAGTCAGATTCGCCTTGTTTGCCTTTGCTCTTAGGATTTCTTAAATTGTTGCCAAGCTCTTCCATGTAATTTAGGTCGTCTTTATCTGAAAGGAAAATAAAAAATATTTATAATAAATTCCAGTGATAATCTAAAATAGTGCTTTTGTTTTGTTCTCTTTATCTTTATAGATGTTTGTCGAATTAAATTACCTGCTCCAGCAATCTTGTCCAGATAATCATCAAACTCATCATCATCAACAGATTCATCATCAGACTCTGACTCGTCATCTTTGAAGCCTCTGGTCGCATTCTTCATTTCTCGTTGCTTTTCTAAATATCTATAATAAAAAAAAAATACAAAATCAAAACACAATGATGAGATTTACCCTCTGGACTAAGTTAAAAGTCAAAAGCTAAAACTAGCATAACTAGAAATATATTATCATCTTACTCAAATATGAATCGTTCATCTTCCGTAACATTGAATTCATTTAATAATCTAACATCTCGTCCTCTTGATCCTTTGCTTAGTTTGAGTTTTTTAGACACAGTTTTATTGAGAAGATCGACTTTCTTTGGATTCTTAAACGAAAATCTTTCCAAAAATCGTTTGCACGTGAAGTCCACCAATGGATCTCCGTCGTAATCAATTTTAGTACCTGAGAAAATAAAAAAAATAATAATAATGAGGCTTGATTAGTATTATGCCTTAAGACAACGATTAGAAAACATTTTCAACCAAAATATTTTTGTCACATTCCATTTTTGCCCCATTTCGGGTAATTTATCTCGGTTTCCCAACCACTGCCTTAAGGCAAATTAAATGAACTTCCTGACAAATAACAATTGAAAAGGATTTATAAGTAAGTAAAAGTTATTGTAATCGTCCAAAAATCGAAATTAAATTTTTTTTGTATATCTTCACGTTTTGAAGGTTTCTGAACATTTTGGCATACCTTAGAAAAAATTGATGTGTGTGTGTGAGTATGTATGGATATAAATTTTCGTCGACGTATCCGGATCAACCGATTTGAACGGTTCGAAAAACATTCTATTTCTATTGATAGGGAAATGTGCTGATTAGTTTTTGGTGAAGGCAGGTCCAGCCGCTTCGGAGATACGGAGCAAAGAGTGCAGAAAATTTAATTCCCAAATTTTTTTTTGAATATCGAAAATAATTCGGATTTTAATGTTAGTTCTAGCTGAAGTTCTAAACATCATTTACATACTTCAATTGAATAATTTTAACTTTGCAATACAGTTTATATAATTCTAATAAATATTGGACCATGTCCTTCATTTTAAATCCGATTGATTAAGTTTTGTTTATATACTTTTCTGTAAACATAAAGCTCTTACAGTTACTTAAAGTTACAGTATTTATAATAATCTGTTTGAAAACATTTAATATTCTTCGAATATTTCATTACTCAGAATATTTTATAAAAGCAATTTTTCAAAAAACAACAATTTTTATAATTGAACCATTTTCCGTAGGACTTTAATGGTTCAGTATGTTCATTAAGACCAAGTACTTTATTGTTATATCAAGTAAATCGTCTAATTTTAATTTTAACAAACGTCAAAAAAAACTACTTATTTTCTTAAACTTCGATAAATTTTTAAAATTAAACTACTTGTCGTAAGTCAAGAGGATTAAAACAAAAAATAATATATTTTTCAAAGAGATAACTTACCTACAAAAATGTTCTCAGCAAACAACTGTACCGTCGGGTGAAAGTGATCTTTAAGTTTCAATAATTCCACATACAAGGACAAGTTAGCACCGGCATGTAAAGGATTTCTATTATAAGGATCGTAAAAAACAGTTTCCTTTTTAACTTTCACAACCACATCCTTATCATCCATAACTGGATTTGTAACATCTGGTTTTTCTTCTTCCTCATCCATTCCCACAACATTTACATTTGTGTCTATTTTATTATCTACGTGTACCCAAGATGATTCACTTTTACCATTTTTCTTTGTACTATCAGTTTCTTTTTTAATTTCTGCCTTGTCGAAATCATATTCCACATCTTTGTACACTTCATCGCCGTCTTCTTCTTCGTCCATCCAATTTTTAGAGATAGTCTTTTTAGATATTTTGATTGTTTCTGGTTCTACAGGTTTCAAAACTTTTTCAAAGAGCCCTTTACGAGTTTGAAGAACTTTTGATATTACTATGAGAAAACCACAAGCATAGGGCACCGGCATATAGAAAGTAATCTAAAATTTATAAAATATTAAATAAAGTTTCTGAGTTGGGTATTGTAAGTTTATGATCAATTTACCTGTAATAATCGCTTAATAAATGCTATGCACCGGATCATTATATGATCCGCAAGCAGAGCCCTATAAATAATATTTAAGCACATAGCCATTGTCGAGGATGTGACATTATATAATTGGGGGTCCTGCAGACGTTTATACAGTGCAGAAAAAAATCTGAAAAAAATAGGGTATTGAGATTCTATGCACGGAAGATGTAAAACTTTGTTATGTTGCAATAAAAATAAAGATTGTTAAAAATTGATTTCTAACATAAATAGTAGTTGCAGTAGTCAAATTTACAACAACTTACATTTTCAGACGGTTTACAACATTCCTAGAGGATTTATAACATTCTCAAATAGCTTTCAATATCCTTAGCCTGCTTACAACATTTCCAGACAAATTACAACATTTTCAGACAATCTACAACCTTTTTTAGACAATTTACAACCGTATCAGACAATTTACAACATTCTCAGACAGGATACAACGTCCTCAGACAGAATACAATTTTCTCAGACAGCTTATAGCAGTCTCAGACAGCTCACAACATTCTCAGATATTTTAGAACATTATCAGACTATTTAAAACAATATGAAATAGCTTACAACATTCTCAGACAGCTTACAACATCCATAGACAGAATATAACATTCTCAGACAGCGTACAACATCCATAGACAGAATGCAACATTCTTAGACAGCTTACAACATCTTCAGACAGCTTACAACATTTTTAGACAGATCACAACATTCTCAGACAGCTCACAACATTCACAGACAGCTTACACCATCCATAGACAGAATACAACAACATTCTCAGACTATTTACAACATTCTCAGTCAGCTTGCAACATTCTCGCATAGTCTACAATATTCTCAGACAATAAATAATATTTTCAAAAAGCTTACAATAATCTCAGACAGCTTACTACAGTCTCAGACATCTTGCTACATTCTCAGTAGTCTACAACATTTTCAGACAGCTTAAAACATTCTCAGACAGCTTTCGATAGTTTCAGACAGCTTGCAACATTCTTGGATACTCTACAACATTCTTGGACAATACATAATATTTATATATAAAAAAACAACATTCTCAGGCAGCTTACAGTAGTCTCAGGCAGCTTGCAACATTCTCGGATACCTTGGACAACATTTTCAGACAGAATACAACATTTTCAGACAATAAAAAATATTTTTAGACAAAAAACAACAATCTCAGACAGCTTACAACATTCTCGGACAGCTTACAACAGTCTGAAACAGCTTACAACATTCTTGGATAGTCTACAAAATTCTCAGACTATAAATGATATTTATGGATAAAAAAAAGCAACATTCTCAGACAGCTTACAATATTCTCAGATAGTTTACTACAGTCTCAGAGAGCTGACAATAGTCTCAGACAGCTTGCAACATTCAAGAACACCCTGCAACATTCTCGGATAGCCTGCAACATTCTCGAACATCTTACAGCAATTCTAAAACAATCTACAACATTCTCAGGCAGCTTAAAGTATTCCCAGATATCTTACAACAGTTTCAGACAACTTGCAACATTCTCAGACATCTTTTAACATTCTAGGACAGTCTACAACATTCTCAGACAATAAATAATATTTTTAGACAAGAAACAACATCATCAGCCAGCTTAAAACATTCTTAGACGACTTACAACATTCTTAGACAGCTTGCAACATTCTCAGACAGCTTGCAACATTCTCGGAGAGTCTACAATATTCTCACACAATACATAATATTTTTAGATAAAAAACAACAACAGCTTACAACATTTTAGGAGAGTCTACACCATTCTCAGACAATAAATAATATTTTTAGACAAATAACATTTTCAGACAGCTTAGAACATTCTCAGACAGCTTACAGCATTCCTAGACAATAAATAATATTTTTGGACAAAAAAACATTCTCAGACAGCTTAAAGCATTGTCAGATATCTTTCAACAGTCTCAGGCAGCTTGCAACATTCTCATACAGCTTGCAACATTTTTTGGATAGTCTACAGCAATCTCAAACAATAAATATTATTTTTAGACAAAGAAACAACATTTTCAGACAGCTTCCAACAGTCTCAGACAGCTTACAACATTCTCGGACAGCTTGCAACAATCTTGGATAGTCTACAACATTCTCAGACAATAAATAATATTTTTAGACAAAACAATATTCTCAGACAGCTTGCAACATTCTAGAACAGTCTACAAAATTCTGAGTTAATAAATAATATTTTTAAACAAAAAACAACATTCTCAGACATCTTATAACAGTCTCAGACAGCTTACAATAACAGCTTGGAACATTCTTAGACAATAAATAATATTTTTCAGGCAAAAAACAACATTCTCAAACATTCTCGGACATCTCATAGCAGTCTCAGACAGCTTACAATAGTCGACTTA